GCATATTTCTCCTGTTTTGGCTTCCCTTCATTGGCTTCCTGTTAAATCCAGAATTGAATTCAAAATCCTGCTTCTCACATACAAGGTCTTAAATAATCAGGCCCCATCTTATCTTAATGACCTTGTAGTACCATATCACCCTTCCTTTTATGCTTCTAGCAATTCTTTTGCTTTTGTGTTTTAATGCCATTCAACCTGCTAGCATGTTTTGGTACCTTGCCCCATAGCCCTCATCCTTCCCTGTTACTTCATCCTACTCTCTTGCATGTTAAGCACTTTGGTACACCACTGGTTTTAAATGTGCTATATAAATAAAGTTTGTTGTTGTTGTTGTGTTTTATCCACCACCCTTTACCCAGCTACATATTTAACGGGGAAGCCAAAATGCTCCCACACATGAGATTTAAGTGATGCTGGAGGTTTCTCGAGCGCCTCTGCTCCTTCAGTTGGACCGCTAACGCTGGCCATGACTATTGCTTGAAAGACTGACCATGCGCAGATTGCGCATGAAACTTGTGCAGTGAAACTTTTTTTTTTCTTTTTCGAATCTTCGGATCACGTGCGTACCGAACCATGGAGAGGGATCGGTTCGGATCACGGGTCAACAGTGATCTGTTGCACCACTACTCACTACTGAGCCACAATGACAGAAGAGACACAAACAAAATATAGCATAAAACAGTATCTGTCCCTCCTTTTATTTGTGTTATAGTGAATGTTATGTGAGGCCTAATGTTAACATAGAGTAAGTTTGATGGGTATCTGTAAACATCATGTTACCAGTATGATCTAGTAAGAGTACAATGGATTGAAATGGAATTCATTATAATAACACAGTTCAATAGTATTTCTTCACTAGCGGTTGGCAAGCCATCTCAACGAGCAATTTCCTTCAGTGACCTGAAACTGGACCTTCAGTGAAGGTCCAGTTTCAGCTCTCCCACCTTGTGTTATCGGCGTTCTGAACAGAGGAGAAAAAAGGGCCAAAGAAACACACTTACATCGATTCTTTAAGTCTCCGATGTGCGGGAACCTAGCTTGCTTTAAGAGGCCAATGATATGTTATTGGCTGAGGAGAAACTCCCTCTCTTGTAGTCAGACTTTAACTGGCCCAACAACATGCAGGTGTGTGATAATGTGTCACACTCAGGTGCAGAGAGAATAGCAGAAATACTCAACTTTGGAACACAAAGCAAACCTGACGCACATGCACACATTCTCTCACACACAAGAAGAGGGAAAAAGAGAGTGAAAGAGGGGAAAAGGTTTACTGCATTTAAACTCCCACTTTTAAGACAGTGAAATGAAAAAGCTTTTTTGTGGGTGGCATAAACATATTTTATCTCAGTGTTGCTGTTCAGATTCATGATTCAGTTTATTTGATGGGAACACATGTGTGTTATGTGTCGCCTGAAAAAAAGTTGTTCCCATGTTCAATATATATTTAGTTTTCCTGTTGAGATATACTGTGTGTATGGATGTACGTAAGTTTGTAAGTAAAAATTAATAAAAACAGACTTTTTGGGTTAATTTAGTGTGAGCAATGAAAAATGTCACCATCCTAAGGCAGTAATTATGGGAAAATATCATGTCACTACTGTTGTTGCTCTTTTATTGTTTTCTGCTCCAAACATCTTCACCTTATGTAATTGCCAAGTGCTAAAGTTAGACCTTTCTTAGAGCTGTTTGGGAGAAAGTTAGCTCTGTGTACAAGCAGACGCTTGATTAGGGATTCTGTGTTGTCGTGTTTCATTTACACAGTACGCATAAGGGAAGTGGACTAAACACCTTGTTAAGGTGAATTGTTAAATATTGTCATTTTTATGTTTACCATTTGTACATTGTTTTAAGGAATTCTTTCTGTCCTCCCCTCCCCAGATTCTTAAGATTCTGGGAGGGGGGGCGGTAGTGTTTCTGATCACAGGAACACCCTCTGTGAAGGTCTGTTTGATGTGGTAAATTTCCTCCCCTTTGTATGGCTTCACTGTGTTATCTAGGGTGTGGGGGGACTACCCTCTTTATGACCAAGGATGTTCCTGTGCTTTTATGTTATATGACCCTTTGATCAGCAGCAT